CCTTAAATTGATCATCTCTGGATATGGGTGCATGACTGCATTCAATAAGAGTAAGACAATTACAATAGAAATGTGAAATTAAAGTTAGTGAGGATATGCTTGTCTTTTCAGTAAATAGTTTTAGGTTGATTGGTTAATTGTGCATAAAAAGTTACTGTCGCACCTGCTGTGCAGCCTGCATCCGAGAATGTAGCAAGGTGGTCGGGATAGATGACACAGAGACTGGTCGGTTGCTTTAAGAAAACTTTATGCTTCCCCAATCAGCTTAGGAGGAGACCCCAAGTCCGCTTAGGAGAGAACTCCCAAGAAAAAACGCTTCCCTTTTTAAAGACTTCTGCCATCCATCTACATACAATTCTCCAACTGCGCTCTCACACATCTCTCAGACTTCTCACCCTCCTGGCTGGTGGTTTAATCTCTGGCCCCAGAATTGGGGAGAAACAGCAGGGGGAACAGGAAGAAGCATTTAGCCATAAGGGGGATCAAAGTCATGGTGTTTCAGTGAGCCAGCCCTTATCGGAGCCCTAACAAGAGCTTTATAGCACTGAATTGTTTTCAGTAAACATTATCTCACAGCTGCCTGCTCCCAGGCCAAAGGGGAAGTGGGTTTCTGCTCAAGGTCTGGTGTCCCCACAAGTTACCTCTGCATCAAATCACATAAAATCATTAAAATGGGTTATAAATACCATTGTGATAGATTAATAAAACACCTAGCAAAGTGTAGAAACTATATTGACAGCCATAAGTTAACTAAAAATTTCTTTGAAATATAAGAAGCCCTAACAGTAAAACAGAAAAAGGTGATAAATAAAACCATACTTTTTGTTTATCAGTGAGGAGGTCTGGGCAATATCTGGGGCCTTGGGTAGTAGATCAGTGTTTACCATGGTGTATGAATGAACTTTGGGAGCCCATCCCATATGGAGGGAAACTCTCTCAGCCTGGACACATGGATGAGGGCCTAGGTCTGGATGAAGTGACAGACTCTGGAGATCCCCCATGGAGGGCCTCACCCTCCCTGGGGAATGGTGTTGGGAGTAGGTGGGGGGTTGGGTAGAGTGGGAAGGGAGGAGGGGTATGAGAGAGAGCTGGGATTAACATGTGAAGCAAGCATGTTTCTAATTTAAATAAAAATATATTGAGGAAAAAAACAAATACAAACAAAAAACCCATACTTTTTGTGAGGCTGCCAAGAACACAGACTAACTAAAACACATATATTTCATAATTCCAGAATGTAAAGACAACTTTCTTACATAAAATAAGACAACCAATAGACCCTAGATACTGCTGTTGTTTTCCAAAATAGACATGTTCTGCACTGCTCTAGGCCTTCCTTACGGAATTTTTTTCTTTCACTGAGCAGAAATTACTGTAAACTCACTAATTGGCCAATGTACTGAAAACAGATTTTGAGTGATCAATCGGGAATGATCAGTCCTAATGTCTTTTTCTGCAGAGCCCTGGAAACATTACTAAAGAGGGGCTGAGAATGATGGAAGACCCTTCTGGGGAGGAGAGCTATGACATGGACATGTGACACAGCCATTGGGCTAATAAATATGAAATGATTGTGGTGATTTGAACAGAACCTGCACAAGATACAGCCCACAGGTGTGGGCGGAGCTGCTGAGAATCCATCAGGGACTATGGGTAGTTAATGTTTGATAGGAAAGGAGTTGTCATTTTCTTCCGTGGTGTAGCCACTAAAAAAAAAAATACTGCCCGCTCTCCAAGGAGTAAACTCCCACCAGAGACTGTGCCAGCAACCCCAGCTCACCTCTGTGGGATAAAGAAAAGGAGGCACATGGAAGGAGAAGAACACATTGGGAAGAAGGGAGCCATGGGGAGAGATGTGAGAGAATGATGGTGATAACAATGCCAGTAAGTTCTCAAAGCACTTAAAATCAGTGGAAGATTTAAACGGGTGTTTGCTAATAATAATTTCAGTGGACAATTTTAAGAGAACGGTAAATCAAGGCCATAGTATTTTGCAAAGTAAACAAACACCCCAAAGTAATTGAACAATGGACTATTTCAAGGGAACACTTGAACAACAAAGTATTATATGAGGAAATATCCAAGTATTCATTCCTGTGTTATAATATGGCTGTTCACACAACAGTGGTGGAGGTAAGTCCCGGAGACAGACTACAAAGCTTGCTGAATACAAACTGCTGACTCTGTGTCGCTTTACGGAAAGCATTTGTTCTCTCCTTGGTCTATCAAAAGGGCACGCGAGGTGATAGAAACCTAGACCCAGAACTGCTGGGCGACAAACGAGAGGGTAGTATTTCCTGGCTTCAGTTTCCTATGATCACTGAAGTTTATGTTTTGAATTTTTTGACTTCTGAAGACTTACTGACCTGTTGCAGCCTGGTGCAATATATCTTATGTTTCACTGTTTCTAGTAAGCTTATGACCTTGACACAAGCTACCATTATACGCTATTCTTTCTTGTATGCTTCACATATATGCCATTTTCAAATGCTTGGCTCAAAAGGTTTTCATTACTAGTCCAGTAAAATAAATATTTACATATATTTAAAATTAATTTCTTCTGTGTGACTCTTCATATTCTGCGCTGCATCTCTTTCCTCTCATGTTTTTGGTTGTGAGCCTAGCCTTTAACAGCTGAGCCATCTCTCCAGCCTGAATCTCTTTTCTTTGCCTAAAAACAAGATACCATTTTTTAAAAACAAAACAACAACAACAAAAAACTTGGCAGAGCCACTTTATTTTTACATTATGCTGCAAGCTGTTATTTTTACCTTCATTATTTCTTTGGTTACATTTTGTTAATATATTTATTTTTATTATATGGACACTTATGACTATAAGGCATTCAAGATGGACATTTATTTATAATTCATCCTTAAGCCATCATCATATCTTCTCCTGGCTCCCTCTGATTTCTTACACTATTTATCATCCCCACTTCCTTGCTCTTACCAGATAACAGTTTTGTTTTGTCTGGCTAAATTAAGATTTGGGGTGTGAATTTTAATCTTCAGTGATTATATTATGCTTGCATAAGACTTTAATTGGATTTCTCTCTCTGAACAATGCATAGACAATCTTTTAACAATTATGAAAAAATAAAAAGTGTTTAAACAAATGGCTCCACTTCTTGTCTTTGCCCCCCATGAATTATGACTGCATGTGTGTTTCTCATCCATGAGTGCTGAGAGTTCCTTTATGCTGTCTTCAGTGTTCTGCATTCCTTTTGAAATTGTCTTACTTCAACTTAATTAATCTGAAGAAGTTAAGTTTAATAATTTAGCTTAGTCTACTGAGTTGCTAACTCTACTAGTTACTTGTTTTAATGATTTTGAACCTAACTTTGTTTTTATGATGAATTTTCACACTTTTCACATGGACTTTGAAAAGTTCCTTGCTTCTCTGCATAACTAATTTGAAACTGCTAACCTGAAAACTCCAATCTGTGGCTGATATTTTTTGTCAGCTTTTAAAATCTGTTCTTTCTTTTGTATCTATCCTTCTGTTGGCTTATACAAGTTCAACATTTTAAATTTAAATTATGGAGGATCCAGAATAACAACAACAACAATGACAGCAATAACAGAGAGAGAGAGAGAGAGAGAGAGAGAGAGAGAGAGAGAGAGAGAGAGAGAGAGAAAGGGTGGAGGAGAGTGAGAATATTGCTCTAAATCCAACAAAGGCTAAAATAAAATTGCTGATATTCCAGCCAGGATCTGTCTCCATTTTCCAGTCAACAGTAGATATTCCCTTGTCTCTTTGAATTAAAGAGTATGCTTCTTAGTAGGTTTTGAAATTTGGTAATTATGGAAATTTTTCTAATATTTAAATAATTCAGTTTTGTCTCAGAGGAAACTAATCCTGGAATCTTCTGAAGTGAAAAAATAACAACCCTAGAGTAGCCAGGCTCTGCGCTCATCTCTGTATCCCCTAGCATAGTGTTACCGCAGATGTGTGCACTTATTTCCGGAAAACAAAATAAAGCAAAGTGAAAGAAAACCCATTTTTCCAATAATTTTCTCTAGAATAGTGGTCTCTACGTCTCTCATGTTTTATGTGTATTTAATTCATACCACTATATTATTACCTTTAGTCTTATCAGCTGCATTGTGAGGCACAGATGCATTAAAACTAGAAATAATTTTTATTTTGGAGAGAATTAGTATACACAGGGATGCATATATATATATATATATATATGTACATATATATATATATGTAACTCATGTACCTAAGACTTGGATATCATTGCGCAAGGAGAGGAAATTTTGTAAAAGTCATAGAACAGGGACTTCACTGTGAAATCATGCCTCCTAGAAACCTCAGAATCTACATCTATAAACTCTCACCAACAGGATTGTCTAGACATAAGTTGAACAAGGAGTGCACCAACAGACATTTTAATATAGAAAGTGGAAGATACTGAGGCCTCAACCCTACACAAAGATCTACAGGCAACCAAGGAATTCTGAGAATGAAAATATTTTTAATGAGTTGTTAGTAAGAAAAGATATATATATTTCCTATTAATTTTAGGCAGCTAAATATTGTAAAATCTCTCTCCCTCTATCTCTCTCTGCTTCTCTCCCTCCTTCCATGTATTATTTAAAAAGACCACACATATCTGAAAAATCACACAGAAATACATAAAAACATGTCTCTTAGTGAGAAACTAAGAGACTATTAAAATTATGGAAAGGCAAAATCTACAATGAATACCTTTTAATATTAATGTGTACCGCTTAATTAAAAAATAGGGAGTTCATGCTTGACAATTCACAGATCCTTACAAAGATACTAATAAAATTGTCTGCAACTGCCATAGATTCCAAATGAAAATGACAAAGAAGATGGTTATGCCTTGTTGATATTTGTCAGATAGTTTAGCATGAAGTTGAAATGATGAAGATCTTTAGGAATTCCTTATGTGAAGAAACTTGAGGATACTTATAGTAATACAGCAGATGAGAGTCAACATTCTGGATGGTTGTAGAAACTCCTCAGTAGAAGCCATAAGACCAGTGTCTTCTCCAGCACAGTGGGCGGCAATAGCCATAACCACAGCCAAAGCCATAGCCTAGGCCACCATAGCCATAGCCCAGGCCTCCATAGTATCCACCATAGTAACACATGGTGTCAGGAGTAGACTGTCCAGAGGAAGACCTGTAGTGGGATCCTTGAGTCTGGATTTCTTGTCTTCCAAGGGCCTTTTATACACCTGGGTGTTTGGTGGGGGAAATCACAGGTATTATAATGTCATACATGTCTACATTGTGCTTCAGAAAACAGCATGCCATGGTTTATTGGACAATCAAAGCTAAGTATCTGAGATAATTGTGCTCATATGTCAGGATCCCATGATCAAATCATTGCACTCTAACATGAAATTCTTGTACTGTTTTCAATATTCTACCTCATTTAGATTTAGTTTATTTAATATTTATGAAAATCTTCTGTGCTTCTATACCAATATTTAAAATAATCCTCTTTCTTTTTATATCTTTTTTGTAATATTCCACAGTTAAAAGGTCTTTGTGTTTTCTTTTCTTTTGTTTGCTTATTGTAGAGTAATTCTCTCTTTAGAAATGTGTTTCCCATATCATCCTAATGAAGAATTATCTGGTCATTGGTTGTGTTATTGGTAACTTGATAACAGTTAATATCTACATAAACATATTTTAGTTTTGTTTCGGGTATATTCTAGTCTTACACATTCTTTCTAGTTTTCATATGTCTGTTTTTGTGCTATTGTCATTTGGTTTTTATTACTGTGGCTCTGTGTTATAATTTGAGATCAGATCGTATGATAGGTTCAGCATCATCCTTTTTGCTTTGTCCTATTTTGGCTACTCATATGACCATTAGAATTGTGTTGTCTAGTTCTGTTAAGAATATGATTGGAATCTTGATTCCTTGAAATCTGTAAGTTGCTTTAACAAACAGCTACTCCCATCTTATTAATTCTGCCAATAATGAGCCCAGTGTGTCATTCCATATGCTAGTTTCTTATTCAAATTATTTTCTTCACAAAAATATATGCTGCATATAATTATGTTAAGGTAAATGAGCCAAAGCGAGAGAAACAAGCCCTGGGCATGTGAGATAGCTCAGTAGGTAACGGCACACACCATTGTGCCAGAAGATCTGAGTTTGAGCTGAGCGTCCCATACAGTAGAAGGAGAAATTCTATCTTTCATTTTTTGCCTGTGTCTTCCAGGTTAATGATATGTCATATGCATATCCCCCAACAAAACATATGCAGAAAGAATAAAATTATAATAAAAAATTTAAAAACCACAGATTCATAGGCCCTAGGAAAGAACCAACAGCATAACCCTTAATCTCCATCAGAGGACCTTTTTTTGCCTTAAATGGCAGTTAACAAAGAGACATGCCTCCCGGTTGCTTAATGTGCAGATAAAAGAAAATGGAGTTATCAATTCTAAATTTGAAATTAATATCACAATCACACTCTGTAGAAGAGGGAACAGAAAGACAGTAAGAGTCAGAGGTGTTCAATGACTTTAAGGAAGTATTTTCCAGACACAAAAGGGCACATAGATATTTGAATCCATAATGATTGTGACAACATGGATAAGACCTGAGAAAGTTCCAATCAGGAAAAAAATCCTAGTATGAATGGAGAAAGGTGATCAGGCATCACTAGCTGAGGAACATTTAGCATTTGCTAACATAGCTGCTAAAAGATCAGTTTTTGTTAATGATGTAACCTCTGGTAGGCTGACCACATACCAAAGCAGACCTCGATCCAAAACAAGTTTGGCAACACAAACTGGACTCTGTGATGGGAGAATTAAAAGAAAAATAGAAATCTCAAATTTGGGTGGGAAGATCAGTGGGAAGATTAGGAGTTGAGGGTGTGATTATTTTCAAAATTCGTTGTCTGAGATTTTCAATTAATACAAATATTTTCATTATTTTTCCATTTTATTGAAAACAGATTCTTTTTCTTTTTTTTTCTTTTTTTTGGTTTTTCGAGACAAGGTTTCTCTGTGGCTTTGGAGGCTGTCCTGAGCTAGGTCTTGTAGAACAGGCTGGTCTCGAACTCACAGAGAACTGCCTGCCTCTGCCTCCTGAGTGCTGGGATTAAAGGTGTGTGCCACCAATGTCTGGCTAGTTTCTTTTCTTATACAATATATCAGGATTGTAGTTAGCACTCCTTCTACTCCTCCCAATTCTTCCTCACCTCCCACTGCTCCAAATCCATTCCATTTCTGTCTATCAATAGGTAACAACCAAACAAAACAAAATTAAAAATAATAGGATAAAGCAGCAGCCATCATGTTGATATTGGACATGGCAGACCTACAGGAGGAAAAGAATCCCTAGGGCAGACAAAAGAATCAGTGACTGACTTATTCTCACACCCAGGAGTCTATTAAGATACTAAGCTAAAATCTATCAGGTATACATAGAGGACCTGGTACAGACATGTGTAGGCCCTATCCTTGCTGCTTCAGTCTTTGTGAGTTTATATGTACCTTGCTAGCAGATTCAGAGAGACATGTTCTTCTGGTGTCCTCCATTATCTCTGGTGCTTACACTCTTTCTGCTTCCTCTTCCCCAGGGTCTCCTGAACTCTCAGGTGAGGGGTTTTATGGTGACATTCCATTTATACCCTCTCTCCATGTAGTGTCTGGCTGTGGGTCTCTGCATTTGTTCGATCTACTGCCAGAGGCAGTCTGTTTGATGGTGACTGCGTAAGGCACTGCTTTTTGAGTTGTGGTAGTTTGAGTGCAATTGGCCCCCTTAAGCTCATAGGGAGTAGCCCTATTAGGAGGTGTGGCTTTGTTGCAGTAGGTATGGCCTTATTGAAAGAGGTATGTCATTGTGGGGGTGGGCTTTGAGGTCTTATATATGCTCAAGCCATGTCCAGTGTCTTCGTCCACTTCCAGCTGCCTTCTGATAAAGATGTAGCCAGCACCATGTCTGCCTGCCTGCTGCCATACTTACCACCATGGTAATAATGAACCAAACCACTGAATCCATGAGCAAATCATCCCAAGTGCATGTTCTCCTTTTAGGAGTTACCATGGTCATGCTATCTCTTCACAACAACAGCAACCCTGACTAAGACATGAGTGCAGCATAATGTAAATAGGAATCATTATATATAAATAATTATTATATCATATTGAGGACAATTAATAGGACTAATAAATATTAATGATATAATTAATGATCATATATATCATTTATATTTGGTTTTGTCCTAGTTCTCTGGATTATTTATCCTTTCTTGGTCATCCAAACCATATTGGGTATGTGTTCTGTTTCATGGTGGTGGGCCTTAAGTCAAATCGGACATCCATGCGGTAACTCAGACACAGAAAGATATATTGGATGTTAAATAAATGATAACCAAGCTACAATCCATAGATTCAGGTATAGAAGTGTCAATGGGGGATTCATGGATCTCCCTAGGAAGAGGATAGAATAGACTTTATGGATGGACTAGGGATGTGTGGAGACAGGTGGGCCAGTATCAGGTAGGAAGTGTAGGAGAGATAGGGTAGAGTGAGTGATTGCTGGAGGAGACATGTGTAATTGATGGGCATTTGAGGGATGATATGGAAACCTAGTATAGTGGAAACTTTCTAAAATATATGAAGGTGATTCTAATGAGGTCTCATAATAATGGGGCTTCAGAGACTCAACTGGACATTTCTTGTCATGAAATGGGGCTTCCAGTAGTGGGACTGGATTATATTCAATTGAATTGTTGGCCAAGGGAACCCCATAGAAATGTCTCAAATGACTCATGCTGTTACTAAGACAATGGATTGTTTTCCACAAACTGACAGATGAACCCCATTGCTGGAGACAGCACTCACACAACTCACTGAACATGGAGTAGTTGGGCTGGTGCTTTCATGGAGTGGTAAACTCTATGTTCTAATGCCTTTTATACAGGAAGATACTCTGTAGGCTACCAAAAGAGAAACATAAATACCACTCTATCCACAAAACCACTGAACTATGATCTGTGCTGCCTTCAAAATATGCTAAGGCAATGATGGCACATAACTTGTGGGGGTAATACAAATATTTTAAATGAGAAAAAAATTTTTTTGGCTTTTTGAGACAGGGTTTCTCTGTGGCTTTGGAGGCTGTCCTGGAACTCGCTTGGTAGTCCAGGCTGGTCTCGAACTCAGAGAGATGCGCCTGCCTCTGCCTCCCAAGGAGAAAAAAAATTTTAACACAAAAGTTTTTGACCCAGTTCAGAATCTTAAAGGACAGTTGAGCATGGAAGTCCATATATAAACCCAGAAGACTGAGTAGTGCCAAAAACCAGCTCTAATGACTGCCTAAATATGTAAGGTGGGGGGCAACTTAGACAGGAAGAAGACCTCAACTTGTGGGCACACTCCTGCACAAGCACCTGGGTACACACACAGGCAATGCGTTCACATACAACTACTGACAACCATGCACATGCACCCCCACACAAACACATGTAAAACACATGCATACTGATGTTACAAAACCAAAAACATTCAAACAGGTAACTTTTCATGCATTCAATTGAAGAAATTTTATATAAAAAGCAAGCAACTGTATAAGAAAGTGGTCCACACAAATGAAGAAAACAAGTAAATCAGGCAAGGGATTCATGCACAATTTTGTTGGGGGGCCTGATACACAGTTAAGCTAAACAGCCCAAAGAATATAAACTAATACTAAAATGATCTGAGAGTCAGAAGAGATATGTTTCAATGAAAAACAAAGACGGGGAAACAGACACAATAATGTTCTACTTCATTAGAAGCATAGAGATGCAAATCAAGATCAAGATGAGATTGTACCCATTTGTAAAGGGAAGCCTTCCCGCCAGCCTGGTTCCAGAGCCACATCAGTTCCAAATAAACACACAGGAGGCTATATTAATTATGAAGCTGTTGGCCTTGCTTGTTTCTTACTGGCTAGCTCTGACTTAAGTATTTACCCCATAATTGTTAATCTAAGTATTTCTCTTACTGGAGCAAAGTTTCCGGGCTTCTTATCCCTATGGCAGTTACATCTTGACTCCCTGTGTTTCTCCTACCCAGAGTCCTCCTGGACTCCTAGTCCCACCTATCTTGCTTCCCTATTGGCCAACAGTGCTTTATTGACATATACACAGGACTTCTCCAACAGAACCCAACAACTGTTAGTTAATTAATATCAGAAATAAGAAAGGTGAATGGTACAGAGCATGTGGAGAAGATGGAACCTTCTTGATTTTCGATGGAAATGTAACTTGATGTAGCCATGGCAGAAAACAGTATAGGGCACGCTTGCAAATATATAGGGAAGTAACAGAGAATCTAGAAGTCACATTACTGATATTGTAATTAGATAAAAATTACTGGATTTTAAAGAAATGGGTACATTACAAATTTATTGTCACTTGTTTGCAATAGCCAAGCTGTAAAACAACCAAACATCAGTCTGCAGATGAACGGTGAAAGGATATGTTTTTCCCTCCCTCCCTCCCTCCCTCCCTCCCTCCCTCCCTCCCTCCCTCCCTCCCACCATCCATCCCTCCTTCCCTCTCTCTCTGTCTCTCTCTGCCTCTCTCTCTCTCTCTCTCCTGTCTTCTCCTCCATCCTTATTTACTTCCTTTTTTCCTATCCCTCTCCAGTTTCATCTCCTTCACTTCCCGCCCATGTTCCCGCAACCACCCCCACATGTGACCAAACAGATGCAAAAGCAGAAAACATACAGAAATCGATTTGTACTGTTTAATCATCTAATTAATTGATAATATACATGTTTTACATGAGAATTACAGGGTATTATGAAGATAACTTAAATGTAATACAGTACAACTGAAGATGAGGAATTATAGGGCCATGCTGTATTTGTTTTATTTCAGATAATATGGTGTAAAGCTAAAATTTTTGAAGAATTTTTGAGGTACTGGTGTCAAAATAGTCAGAAGCACTTCTAGGCAGAAAGGCAAGGAAGATACAGAAACTCTTCAGTAGAAGCCACAAGACCAGTATCTTCCACAGCATAGCGGGCGGCGGCAGCCATAGCCATAACCACCATAGCCACCATAGCCACAGCCATATCTGTAGCCTAGGCCACCATATCCATAGCCCAGGCCACCATAGCCATAGTCCAGGCCTCCATAGTAGCTGCCGTAGTAACACATGTTGTCAAGAATGGGCTGTTTGAGGAAGATTTCTTGAGTATGGATGTTACCATCTGCCAGGGGCCTTTTATACACCTGGGTGTTTGGTGGGGAAAACCACAGGCATTGCAGCACCACACATAGTATCACAGTGCTTCAGAAAACATCAGCATGCCATGGTTTTCTGGACAATCAAAGCTGCATAACTGAGATAGTTGTGCTTGTATGTCAGTGTCCCATGGTCAAATCATAAGGTGTTAGCATGAGATTCTGCTTCTGTTTTCAAGACCCTGTCTCATCCTGTATTTAGTTTACTTAATTTGCATATTTAATACTGTGTCTCTGTGCTAGTCATTGAAATAGCTCTCTCTTTTTATTGCTGTTTGTTTTGTAATGCTCCATAGGTAAAAGGTCTATGTGTTTTCTTTTCTTTTGCTTTTTAATTGTGGAGTAATTCTATCTGGAGGTAAGTATTCCCCAAGTATTCCTAATTAAAAATGATTTGTTTCTTGGTGACTTGGTTCTTGACTGGTACATTCATTTTGGCATTATTGTGAATGTATTCCATTCATGCGTGTTCTTTCAAATCTTTGTATGCTTTCTTTTGTGTTATTATCATGTAGTTTTTATTACTATGGCTCTATGGTACAATTTGAAATCAGGTTCTGTGGTAGGTCCTGCATCTTTCTTTCAGGTTTGCATTATTTTGGATAGTGGAGTCATTTTGTGCCTTCATATGACCTTTATGATTGTGTCATCTAATTCTGTTAAGAATACATTTGGAATTTGGATGGAGATTGCATGAAATCTGTACATTGGTTTAGGAAACACAACCATTTTCATGTAATTAATTCCTGCAATCCATGAACAGAGGATCTCCTTCCATACCCTTGTATCTTCTTCAAACTGTTTCCTTCACAAAATTGGGTTCAGCTGATATTTATGTTAAGCAAAATAAGTCAGACTGAGAAAGACAAATGTTGGGCTAAGGTGGCGCAGTAGTAAAAGTCACCCACCACCCATGTCTGAATCTGAGTTTGATCTAAGTGTCCTATAAGGAGGAAAAAGACGACCCATTCTCTTGTTTTCCTCTGACTTCCAGGTTCATGATGAGCCATCTGAATGCCCCCGTGCCAACATATGCAGAAAGATTAAAATGAATAGAATTATAATAAAATTTAAAAAGCCACATGTTCACAGCTCTTAGGAAAGAACCCAATACTAGTTATCCTGTTAAATAGACATAAATAGTTATCCTGTTAAATGGACATAACTAGTTATCCTGTTAAATAGACATAGCTAGTTATCCTGTTAAGTAGACATACCATCAAGAAGATTCCTAATGACTTAGGTCACACTCATAGATCAGTACATCCCCCAACCCCCACCAGAGTAGCTTCTTGCAGTAAATAAAATTAACAAAGACACATGCCTCCAAATGGCTAATACGCAGATAACAAAGAAAGCCATGCCCTCAATCCTAAATTGTGCATTCACATCACACTCCTCTCCACAGGCTCAGGTATCTCTGCAGAAGAGGGAACAGGAAGACACTAAGAATGAGAGGCAATGAATGATGTCAAAGAAAGTGTTTTCCAGACAACAGGGCAGACATTCAAACTCACAGTTATGGTGAAAACATGACTAAGATCCAAGCAAGCTCCACCCATACAAAAACTCATCTTGGAAGGAGGAGGGAGTTGGACCACCAAAAACTGAGGAGACATTAGGAAATAACAGTTTTCGTGTGATGTGACCTCTGGTAGACTAACCACATACCCAATGCAGGCCTCAATTCCAAGGCAGGTAGGCAACACAAACCGGACTCCATGGGAGAAATTAGAACAGAAATAGTAATCTCCAAGTTGGGGGGAAATAAAAGTGGTGAGGTAGGCATTCAGGGGATGGCTATCTTTAAAATCCATTGTATGGATTTTTCAATTAATACATTTTTCATGTTATACTACTTCACACTATGCTACACATCACATGCCATGCACAAAATCTATATCTAAACTGGTGTGTGCATGGGTGTGTGTGTGTGTGTGTGTGTGTGAGTGTGCGTGCGTGCATGTGCATACTCTTGCATAATAGATCATTCAACTAGAAAGGGCACCAAGGGAAGAGAAGATATCAGGGATGGGGATACAAGAGAGTAATGCAGTACGTGGAAATGGAAGCAGAGGAGAGGTAGGGGAAGACAGTGTGTAGAGGATGAATGAGAACTAAATAAAATGACCAATGTGTATGAAATAACAGCATGCAACACAGTATAGATGTCTTAAGGCCAGTTGAGTGTAACAGTTCACCTGTTAACGTTGCGGATCATTTGGAGCAAGTCAGATTGCCAGACTGACTTGAATGCCAAATTCCTGCTCTACTGATTCTCCTCAATATGTAAGGTTTAGAGCAACTGTTGCGAAAGACAAAAGACCCTAACTTATAGCCTTTCCATGTGAGCACACATATGCACACGGACACATGTAAAACACACAGAGAGATGTCACAAGCGTGAGAAGAATAGACAGAACACAGACAGCTTTTCATGTACCAACTAAGAAAGTTCTGAAGACTGAAAAATTGACTGTATTAAAGAAACTCCACAAAAAAGGAAAAAAATCAATTACAGAAGGCAGGGAACAAATACACAAAATTTATGTGAATTATACACGTCTAAACTAAACAGCCAAAAGAACATAAACAGATGTTAAATGAGCAGAGAATTAGAACTGGCATTTTTCAAAAGAAAAGATACAGATGGACAAGCAGAAACAGTAATGTTCCATTTCAGAGATGCAAATCAAGATCAAAACAAGACTGAACCCCCAAACTGTTAGGTGATTACAATTAGAGAAAGAGATGAGTGTGACAGAGAATGCGGATAAAGCTTTTCCACAGCTGATGTGAATGTAACTTGGCGCATCTGTGGCAGAAAATAACACATGACATGCTCCAAACAGAGGCAAGTGACGGGAGATCTGGAAGTCGCACTACTGCTGTTATAACTAGATTACGCTATTGGATCTTAAGGAAATAGACGCACTACCAAATCTATTTTCACATTGCTTACAATAGTCAAGCTATAAGAGCTGCCAAATAAATGTCCCATCCGTAGATGGATGCTGAAAGATGTTTCTCCCTCTGACTCTCTCTAACGCTCCCTCCTCCATCCTTGTTTGCCTGCTTTTTTTCCTTCTCCTTCTTCATCTTCCTCTCCTTCGCTTCCCTCCCACTTTCCCACAAACACCCTGCACGTGACCACACAGATACATAAGCAGAAAACATACAGAAATTATTTTGCACCATTTAATCTTTTAGTTGTTTGAGAATACAGGTATTTTTATACAAAGATTGAGAGTTAAAGCTGAAAATATTTTTACAGATCATGATGAAGATAACAGAACTTTTTTTGCAGATTATCAAAGTCCAGATGAAGATGAGGAATTAGATGATCATATTCTATTTCAGTTATTTTTTCAGGTAATTGGTATAAGGTTGGAAGTTTTGAAAATATATTTGAGTTGATGATTTGAAAATTCTTGGATTCGCATCTGATCAGGATGGCTGGGCATATGTAGAAACTCAGTAGAAGCCACAAGACCAGTATCTTCTAAAGAAAAATGGGCGGCAGCAGCCATAACCATAGTCACCATAGCCACCATAGCCACCATAGCCACCATAGCCACCATAGCCACCATAGCCACAGCCTAGGCCACCATAGCCATAGCCCAGGCCTCCATAGTATCCACCATAGTAACACATGGTGTCAGGAGTGGACTGTTCAGAGAAGATGAGCAGTAGGTTCTTTGAGTCTGACTGTCACCATCAGCCAAGGACCTTTTATACATCTGGGTTGTTGTTGGTGGAAACCACAGGCCTTGCGGCATCACATGTCTCTCCACTGTGCTTCAGAAAACATCACGAGTTCTGTGATTTACTGGGCAGGCAAGGCTGCATAACTAAGATAATTGTACTGCTTTCTCAGATCCCATAGTCAAATATTGGATCTGATGTAATTTTCAGGTCTCTAAGCTATTTTTCACATAGTTTAATGAAACATCACAGGATTCTCTCAGATTATATAAATGACTACATAGTTTTCTCATTTTTATGTATTTTGGGTTTTCATTACCCCATAGAAATATCAAGTTTTTCCCCTGAAATTTGTTATTTTAGAATAAATCTTACCTGGAGGAGTATGTTCCTTGAGTCTTTCTCATGAACAATAAGATGAGTGTTGGTTATATTATTTGTCACTTGGTGGGTTATTGGCATCTTATATTAGTATATTTGGATTTATTACTAAGCATTTTTGCTTTATTAAATCTTGCTTTTAAGCTAGTCCAAAGTACAAGACCATTTAATGTTCATAAACTGTAGGCACTGCGTGTTTCCCTTAGGGAGACCGTATAAAGGTCTTGAAGAGGTAACTATGACAGGCATTCTGTTTGTTGGGTGAGTCAAGGACAATATTTGAAAAAACTTCTTATGAAATAATGGTTGCATGAGCTTTATGTACCTTTATGAGTTTAACTGGTACTGTTTTGTGCCAGCACGAGGATGTAGTTAAAAATCCCCCAAAGCCGCATAAACTTCGGGTGTACCCTTTTCATATTCCTGCACCCTAGTATTATAGGGGTAGAATACAAGAGGGTTGCTATGACATAATGATTGCCAGCCTAGCTTCATGTCCCACAAGAGGCGCAATGACATGGGAATAAAGTATGTAGGCAGCAGAAGGAGATGACACAATGTGCTCACTTAGCGACTACACACATCCACCCATCTGCTCAAACACCTATAGCTTACACCACACTTATATATGACACAAAAATACATACACACATTTACACGTGCACATACACATACGTACCAACAGAAATTCTATGGAAAATTGCCAAAATACATTTCAGAATATGCATACATAGCATGCACAAAACATTAGATGGAATCCCTAGCATACTCCATTCCATAGAAAGAAAGAAAGAAAAGAAAGATAGATAAGAAGAAAGAAAACTGTA